AAAGGAAAATAAAACTAGAATGGAATTATTACAATAGATCTTTGAATCAAAAACCCCCAATTTCGAACTCACCTTCTCTTCTTGCTAGCTTCACTTGAACTCCTTCAGCCCTTCTTCTTCTCTTACTTGCGCCTAGCCCTTCTTCTCTTCTCTTCTCTTCAAGGTATTCAAACCTCTAGGAGTGGGAGAGCCTTTCTCTCAAGAAATTGAACACCTTCCCCCTTCTAGAGGCCTCCTTATATATATTTTCAAGGGGGCTCTTGCCCCTTCTTGAAGCCTCTAGAATGGGGTGTATTACACCCCCTTCTTGAACTTTCTAGAGTTCTCTCTTGAAAACCTTTTAAGGGTTGCTGCCCCTAGCTCTTTGGGCTGCTATTTGGGCTGCACTTAGGCTCCCTCTTAGCACATGATAGTTACACTCTAGGCTGCTCTTTTGGGCTGAGAATAGGCCTTCTCTACTGGGCCGAATTTTACTCTTTGCTAGACTTTTTTTTCTTGAATTTTCTCAAGGAATCAACTTGTACTTCTTGGGCCGAAGTGTGCTCTCTTGCTTCCATAACCAGGCTGGGCTGAATTTGGTCTTTTTGGACCTTCTTTTCTTACCTTTTTCCTTCTTTTTCTAGGATTAATTACCCTTGAAATCTTTTCTTAGCATTAAGCTAAATTAGGGCAAAATTAAATAAAACTGGCATAATAATCCATACAAAGACCTCATAAATTATAGATAAATTGTATGTTCATCAAATACCCCCACACTTAAGCTTTTGTTTATCCTCAAGCAAAGACATCAGCCATAAATTGAACATTCCCCCCTCTTTTGTTCTCACCATTTACCGGGTGAATTTTTAGGATAGAAATGCATTGAGTGGTTGGGAAACTTTTATAAGTGTTCAGCTCCTATTCTTATAAATTACCATTTTAACACATGTATAAGATCCAGGGAAAAGAGAATACGAATTTCATCAAAGTCTAGCCTTCACTCCTAATCCATATATAAATCAGCTCCTTAATTGTCAAAGTTAATAAGCTAATTGCACTAAGTTTCACATCTGTAACTATATCTTAATGAGAGTTCAACTTTAGTACGCCCCTTTAAACCCCAGTTATCACCGTAATTTCTTATTTCAAGGGGTGAGTGCATTTTATGCTCCGTCTCACCCTTTTCTTCTTCTTTTAGTGTGAGTGCATTTTATACTCCATCTCACACTGGTCACATGCTTGAGGTAGATAACAAGACTCATGTTCTGAACTGCTAGTTTTACTACTGAACTCAAAATAGGGGAGTCAATTTGGGCTCAATTATTGAACCTCATGTATCAGCATTTCAGATGTGCACTAGCTTTCTTGACCATTAACAATGAAATCAAGTGCTTTCATACACATGAAGGTAATTAAGGCTAGTTATGCTGAAAGACATATTCAGCTCCCCCTTTTTCTCATGCATATACTAAGTTGGGTCATTCGCAAGAATAAAAACTTAACAATTACATTGGTCTCCCTCAACTCATTGTATTCCTTCTTAAAAAAAATCACCTAATAAATATCAACGAACTTGAGGGGTTCCAGTCTACTTGGATATGTCATTGCCTGCATATGTGTGTTGGGGTAAATGAGGTGCATGGTTTCAGCTCCCACACCCTAGCCTCAGGCTCACTCCCCCACTTAAAATGAGCATTGTTCGCAATGTTCCTAGTGATAGGGAATGACAATGAAATCAACAAAAGCAATAGCAAGTAAAGAGAAGGGTGAATAGAGGACTCCCTAGATAATAAAATGGGMAATTTGGTGGGAAGCCTCTTCTGCTAAAAATGAATTGAAATTTTGAAAAAGAGATCTTTATTTTACTAACTAATATCCTAAAAAGAAAATGAAGAAAAGATGCCTTAACCTGTTCATGAACAAGAAGATCAATGGTTGTCAAGATATGGTTTCAGGCACTGGCCATTTACTTCAAATGTGCCCTGAACCGGGTGGGTGATTTCTATAGCCCCATGGGGAAAAACCTAAGTGATGGTGAAGGGTCCAGACTACCTGGATCTCAGCTTGCCTGGGAACAGGCGGAGACGGGAATTATATAACAATACCTGCTGCCCAACATAAAAGTCTCGCCTCAGCAATTTCTTATCATGCCATCTTTTAATTATTTCTTTATAGACTTTGGCATTTTCATAGGCGGCAAGTCTGAATTCATCCATTTCATTCAATTGCAGCCTCCTTTTAGCCCCTGTGGCCTCAATGTCAAAATTCAAGAATTTAAGAGCCCAATAGGCCTTGTGCTCTAATTCTGTTGGTAAATGACATGCTTTACCAAAGACCAACCTATGGGGGGACATGCCAATTCTTTTGAGCTCCCTATTAGCTAGCTCCACTTGGCCACTAGTTTGAGGGTGATAAGGGGTAGCCAATTTATGTGTAATTCCATATCTTTACATTAATTGCTCAAAATGGCTATTGCAAAAGTGAGTTCCCCTATCACTAATTATAGCTCGTGGAGTGCCAAAATGGGAAAATAGCTTTTTCAGGAAATGTACCACCCTCCTTGACTCATTTGTGGGCAAAGCCACGGCTTCTACCCATTTAGATACATAATCAACAGCAACGATGATGTACTTATTCCCAAAAGAATTCAAGAATGGTCCCATGAAGTCTATACCCCAAACATCAAAGATTTCACAGATTAAAATTTTGGAGAGGGGCATTTCATTATGTCGGGAAATTTTTCCCGATCTTTGGCATTTGTCACATGTGGATACATACCTGTGAGCATCTTTGAATAATGTAGGCCAATAAAAACCTGATTGCAAAACCTTGGTTGCGGTGTKGCTAGCTCCAAAATGACCTTCTACTTCTTTATCATGGCAAARTTGGAATACCGACTCCATCTCCTTCTCAGGGACACATCTCCTTATGATCTGATCTGCACATAATTTATATAAAAAGGGTTCCTCCCACAGATAGTATTTTACATCAGAAAGGAATTTCTTCTTTTGTTGATATGATAGGTTAGGAGGAATGACTTGTGCAGCTAGATAATTTGCAAAATCAGCATACCAAGGAGATGCATATTCTTGAATTGAGTATAGTTGTTCATCCGGAAATTCTTCTCAGATGTTGCTGGTTATCTCCTCTTCTGAGCTTACCTTGTCTAACCAAGAGAGATAATCAGCAGCCAGGTTCGCAGCACCCTTCATGTCTCTAATTTCAATATCAAATTCTTGTAGTAGAATGATCCACCTGATCAGTCTTGGTTTTGAATTTTTCTTGGTAAGCAAGTGCCGTAATGCCGAGTGATCTGTGTATACAACAACTTTGGACAATATCAGATATGAATGAAACTTGTCAAATGCAAATATTACTGCTATCAGCTCTTTTTCTGTAGTGGTGTAATTGAGTTGGGGTCCATTCAAGGTTCTACTAGGATAGTAAATTGGCTGAAAATGTTTATTCACTCTTTGTCCCAAAACAGCCCCTACAGCAGAATCACTCTAATCACACATTAATTCAAATGGGAGGGTCCAATCTGGTGCTACCATGATAGGTGCATGGATCAATCTGTCTTTCAAGGTGTTGAAAGCATGAAGGCGTTCAATTGAAAATTCAAAAGGCACTTCTTTCTAAAGCAAGGTAGATAGTGGCTTGACAATTTTTGAGAAATCCTTAATAAACCTCCTATAGAAGCCAACATGCCCTAAGAAACTTCTCACAGAACGAACAGATGATGGGGGTGGCAATTTTTCAATTGCCTCCACCTTGGCCTTGTCGACTTCTATACCTATGTAAGAGATCTTGTGTCCAAACACTATGCCTTCTTGCACCATAAAATGACATTTCTTCCAATTCAACACAAGATGT